GGTGCTAATTATAATTTGTTCTACATGACCGGCCGTGATAAATATCGAAAGTAATCAGTGATTTAATCGACCGGAAGAAGTAATTGCGAAGATTAGCAAAAGGTACTGAGTGCGCCATCTGCTCGTGAATCAATCCCACATAAAAACTTGTTCATTTTATTGCTTTATAAAATGCACATATGGACTCCCCCCCACCTTCCCTTCAAACTGATCAATATGCAATTGTACACGTGTTATGAATTGTAAGACCTGTCCCCTACAAAGTTATTGACGTAAGCGTGTTTACGTTTCATTTGTGAAACTTAAAGAGGGCTGAGGGGTCACTATGCCAGTTAATAAAAATTCATCAGCGCTCCATAAAAATAGACGTTTAATAAATTCAAAAAGGATATAAAAAAAAAAACCCACTGTTAAGAGGAATGAAAATTTTTGCATGGAGTAAATATACTCATGTTTTTTTATTCATACAAATAATAAAGAATTTTGCAGTACGTGAATATAGAACTTCTCGTCGTAATTGAATTGCTAAATTTTTTTACTTTTCAGTGTTAAAATAATTCAGACGGAGAAATGAATTGCAGGGAATGAGAGATGCTGCATCAATTATGCAGTTGCAAATTAGACTTTGAATATTCGACTGGGGAGTTATACTAATTCAAAATCTCGATCACAGCACATTACAAAGTATAATGAGGCGTCCAATTTACGACTTCAATGTTGTCTCTCCATCCCTCGGTACTCTACCCCCCACCCCCATCAAATTGTCTCCGTGAATTTATTTAACCACTTTCTCGAGAAAAAATATTCATTAAATTCTCGACGGGAGTGACCTCTTGATACTTTAAATCGGAAATAATTGCTCCGTGATTGCACTGCGTTAGGAACGTAATAGCGTACGTCGGATCGATGATATTTAAAGTTCTTTGGAACGGTATAAGAGAACTCGAGCATGGGATCGATTTTTTAATCTTCGAAATTGAGCGAGGGTCATACACATCGAGAAAAATAAAACTAGGCAGAGATAAAAAATACTCTGAGTTGGAAAAGAAGTTTCTACGTTCGACAATATTTACGTTATTCGGAAAAACTTTTTCACGATGCGAGAACCAATTTTTTATGCTATAATATAAGTTTCTAAATTTGAGGCAACTTTTTTTTTTATTGTAGAAAATTAGTTTTTGATTTTTGAATAGTTTCAAAATGTAGAAGCATTCTTGTATAACGCAATACCTAATGATAAAATATTCTTTGAATATTTGAATCTTAGCAACTATAAATAAAATTCTAATATTTACATGACAATACTGAATATTTATGTCAGATAGTCGAGGAAGTCCGAAATTTTTGTGAAATTTGATAACACGTAGTGACAATTTTGTCAGAACGATTGAATATTGATAAGTCTGACGGATAGGGTAATTTATCCCCTTTTTTAAACTAAAATATTCCATTTACAACAAAATATTATAAACCCCAAAATATCTCGGTATCTTCCATCAATTCGGAGATATTACTAGCGTTTTTACTATATAAAAACCGCAATTCTTTTTCTGAATAAAATTCACAATTATTCTTGTCATCAATCTTCATGTTTCAACAAACTTTCCGAAAACAAATCAATCCGTGGATTATTTTGTGACTAACATTTCCAGAAAACAATGCGCTCGCGGAAATACTAGGGTATGACAAGTGAAATAGTAATTTCGCCTTTCATTTCTCCGCTCGACGGGCATTACCGTGACAATAAACACTAATTAATAATAATGGAAAAACACTAGTGTGTAGATTGTGGAGTGTGTGGAATTTACATGAAAATATATTCCTGCTTTCAATATTTGTTCAGGAAAAATACTGGACGAGCGGTGGTGCGGTGCGGTCGCTGATGGACCGCACGCTCTGACAAACGAATCGATTTGTATGGCTTTTTTTTTCTACTACAGAGAATAAAGGGGCTGAGAGACTACATGAAGAGAGGAGAAACGGTCTACGAATTTCTCGAGAGCACTAGCAAATAGGATTAACATTCGTGGAAAACCTATTCGATTGTTAGTAGAGGTAATAATTAATCTGGAGCTATGCACTGAGTGGAATTGGAGTCCCCTGCGCTTTCATCACTCATTCAATTGACATTTAATCTGCATTGCGTAATTACAGGTTTGAATAATCCAAGTGGAAATATGAACTCCTTCATTATTCGCACTTTGTTTCTCCAAATCATTCCTAAAAATACCGAAATTTTCATTGAATAAGGCCATAATGAAAATTGCTCATCAACGGAAAATACTCATTTTTCCATAGAGACTTCGTTGACGATATTGTTTAAGAATGTGCCTGTATTATTTTTACGTACTCTGAACAATTGAGGTTGATAATTCGATTGTTTGAAAATTTCCATATTTTTCGTTTAAATTATAAATGCAGAGTAATTAGTTAATCGTTTAAATTGTGGGAAATAGGTAATTATTGCGACCTCGGTCTCGATCTAATTTGATGTTCAATATTGAAATAATCCCCAATCGCTTGATCAATCATTAAGTGTCATCGGACCGAAGGAATTTCTTACCGAGGGACTCATTTCATCTCTTCCACAGTTCCTTTTTATCAATTAATTCTCCTGCTGTACCCAGTCCGATAACAGCAAACTCATCTCGTCATTTCAGGCGAAAACATTTCAACGTAAGATTGTTCTCATGGTACTACAATAGTATCCCTTTCCTCAAGTTTTACTACTCTTTGTCTCTGTACCGATAACAATTCCATCTTCCTTTCTCAAAAAATAAAGTTCAGTACTTTATTAACGTTAATTAGAGCTCCTGCTCATTCTGCGTCTCTCGGTTACCACCGCCTCCCAATACCTCAACAAGACCAATTAATTGCTCCATGAACTATTACCACTTATCTGTGTTCATATAATTCAAAGTAAGAATGACAAATTATGTTGGACACGCATTTATCTCAATTGCATATTTTTTCTTAGTTGGCGAAGGGTTTTGAAATTGTTTTGAAATGGTTTTGAAAGGTTTGCCGAAGGATTTTTTACTCTTCATTGGAAAGCAAATCTCAAGCACGAAATACTATCTTTACGACATAAATTCGAGTTTGGAATAGAGCAGAAGGGAATAAAACCTTATCTACTGCCTATACTTACTCCTAGGAGTTGTAATCATTTGATCAGAATCTCCATGACTCATTTCATAATTTATGAATTGAAATTTTTACTGTTCCATGAATTTGCCTCCGAAAATGAACTCCTTGATTTATTCACCATTTTAGGTTTCTTTAATGTGAAATCATCGAAGATGTTTAAAATTTCAAAGAATTGATTTAATAGATTATTTCTGAGAAATTAATTTGCATTTTTTGCTATTTTATTCATTTCCATGTGTAAACACGGTGCCGTATATGTTTTATATATTTCCTAGTAACTTGTAATTAAGAATAGAATTAGGAATGTGGATTATCTAAATAATCCACAAGTTCCAAAAATTAATATTCTTCAAAAATAGAGCAACCAGAAAACAGAACAAAACACCTGATTTTCATTCTTAGTTCAATTAAATTATCGCGCCCCTTGTTCTTTTCATAAAAATTCCAACGACTAATTCCTTAAGATTGTGTTTTTGAATTGCATTATAAAGCTTCCTCTAAAAATAGACTTCTTTATTGATATTTTTTTCGTCTACCGAGAAAATTTGGTTGAAAAAAAATGACATTTCCGAGGAATAGAATAATTTTTGCTAAACTATGACCAATAATCATTGGGAAGTTTAAAAAATGGGGAAAAGCAGAAAGAAGAAGATTCCATTCGTCAATTTCCAGTTATGGATGACGATACAACAGAAGATTCTCCACCCATTCGTCTCCTTATCCCCAATATTCATCGTATTGTCACCCCCGATGATTCATTACAAAAACTCATAACCCATTATACCAGTTTTTATCTAAGAATTCTGTCGACTAAATCCCACACTGAAAATGATTAATCACACATCTCAACTTTATTTACTCCTTTCAAGTTCACCCTGGGATAAATTTAGCGAGTGGACAGTGCAATACAGCTGACATCAAACGCAATCACGAGAACTATAAGATCCTCAGATCCCCCGAAGAAAATTCTCAACCATTATTTCACCCTTGTTCAAAACAAGGGAGGAACGTGGGATAAATTCGAAAGCTCTCCGTTCGCTACAATGACAGCGGATGCGGAAATGAAGAGCGGAAAGTGCTCAAAGTGCTCAAAAAAAATGTATTCACCCAGAAGTTGCAAACAAACCCCCAAAATCGAATAAACCCCAGCCGAATATCTGGAATAATTCCCGAAACAAAGGGAAAAGAGTAAAAAAAAAGAACAGTGAAACGCCCACTCTGAAAAAACCCATTCCTGCCAATAAAATTAATTACCGCCAACCAAATTCATCACGACAGCAATTTAAATGGATTTCCCGCAGAGATTTTCGACTCTTAATTGTCTCAATTACATTAACTTCCCAGAACTGGAGAGATAATTTCACTGAAAGGTGAAATGGGTAATGGGTAACGAGTAGATTTAGCCGACAGGTTTTGAGGAATATCTCAAAATCTACCAGAGATATAGAAATTATGGTAGAAACCTTTTCTGTAGCTCTCACTGTGCCCTACAAAAGGTGTCCTATGAAAGATTTCACTACCTCCCCCTAACTCCGAGATATTCCCCGAAAACTCAACAAAGTACCAATTCGCCTCGCACCTTTCCGTCTCGACTCCTGAATTTCATTCCCCTCGCAACGAGAGCACGTTTCATTCCCATTACATAACATTATCCCACGCTCCATTGTTTATTTACCTAGAAAAAAAAATCAAATGAAATAATTACTCACATAGATTTGCAACAGAATCAGCTCCAGCAGTAGCAGCAACGAAAAATGTGATTATAACCGTTGACAGGGCCACCAGGAGCCGACACGGTGTTTCCCACCGCCCCATAACCACCCCCGAAAAAATCACCCCCACAGTCCGCCTTGACCTCGAAATAAAAATAAAAAATACTCGGCGAGGAAAAAAAAAAGTGCGAAAAGCCCAAAACAGTACAACCCTTGGGATTGAACCGCTGATTTCACGACAGCTCGAAAATACAATGCAACCGCCACGAGATACTGAGGATAAATAGATAAAATACGATCAACAGTACCACCCCACCATCACTAAAATATGTTGAATATTGACAGGATACTCGATCACCTTAGGTTCCCCTCAATCTCACCGTAAATAAAATAAAAAAACGCGTGTATATCGTCTGGTTGCCCTATACGTTCTCCCGGGCACCCGAGACAGGAGTCACTGATTCTGACGCACCGCACATCGCGCCACCTGCGCGCGCAATATCACTGTCTCACTTTATCAATAATAGGACTTTCTCACTTTGTCACACTGGATTTCCACTTGGAATTGCCATTTTTCTCCCACTGAATTTTCGTCTCTTCCCTTCGTAACCATTCGTAGCCATCACCTCCCCTCTTTCCCTCGAGTAGTTTTCACCTGGAGTGGGAGAGGTACATGAGGTGGCTCAAGCCCCAACTGCAGGCGGCTATTCGAATTCTCCACGTTCTGCACCAATTGTCCCAAATTGTCCGGCCTAACCCGCCAAAAATACTAAACCATTCGATTCCAATAGCACATGGTAAGAAGGCACGGGCTTTTTCTGGAGCACTCGTCGGCTCCGAGGATGACTGTCAGTGTTGCCTGTGGATGATTTATTAATGCAGTCTGGATTTATTATTCTCGTAAGGACGTCATCACCAGAAAGTCGAGTTCCCATTGGCAGTGGTGAGAAATTCTTCCTATAAAAACTTTATTTGGAAAAATTATATCTTTTTGTTGTTGTTCAGTATAGTTTACTGGGGTACCAGGTGATATGGACATGTTTTTAATTAAATTAGAATAGTAGTAATAGAGAATAGTAGTGATTATCTGTCACGATCTTAAATGATAAGCGCTTTGTTCAAAATTTTTGTCTGTCCATATTACTTCAACGCCCCAATATTCTGTTTAAATTTCATTGGAATTCCATTGACATGTAATTTTCTAAATTAATGAACTTCTTTTTGAATTAATTGGAGTTATAATTGTTGATGATTATGACAGTAAGTAAGCAAGTTACAGAAATTACGTATTTTCTCAAAACCAGAATTCCGTACATCCAGAATTCCATTAGCAGGCTTCCAAAAACTTTGAACTTTGAAAAAATAGCTTATAGCACGAAGTACTGAAGAATTTTCAACTATTTTCAGGTATTTATTGGAGTAATTTGCTTAGAATAATATTCTCATTTAATTTCCTTCAAATAAAACTGAAATATTAGACTCTTCATGAATTAATTCTATGAGTTTTATTATTTATTATTATTATTTTATGAGTTACTTATAGATAGAAATAACTATTTATAACAGTGGCTGTAATTAAATGTACGAGTTGACGAGAAAAGTAGTTATTTTCAATTATCAAGTTGCTTCTTTCAATTGATTTTCATGTCTTTTCGATATTTCCCGGCGATATTTTCATATTTATCCTTCTGCTTCCCCAATTTTTTTTATTCCCGTAATAAATTTTAATCCCAGAGGTTTTGTGCCAACCCGTATACTACCTACTCCTTGAATTTCCCACGTGATAGTGAATATTTTCGCCTGCAATCAATAGTTGATACAATTGATATCCAACTCATTCCATCGATCCAGTATTTTTTATCGCTGTTCAAATATTCAAACCAGTAATGTCCCCAAATAAATGAAATTACTGGAAAATTTAATGCTTGTCTCAGTAGTTTGTATTATATTATAGTCAACTCTTGCATTTCTATTGGTCGAAATTCCGATGAAAAAATAATTATCACTGATTAAGGGGCGACAGTTGAATATAAGAGTGAGGACGAATTATTTAAAATATCAGTTTGACAGCCTCGAAGCTGAGGGAAAGACAAGTGAGAATAAATAATAAATGAAAGAACAGAATGGTAAATGGAAGCAGAGATGGAAGAATGGAGTTGATTATTTTTAATGGGAAGTGGGACTGAGGGATTGTGATATGATTGGATGGTGAATTTTACTGGGTGAGGGCTGTCATGTGAGATTGCACTGTGTTAATTGATGGGTTGGGAAAATGCTGTTGGTGGTTTTTATGGAATTCTCTAGTGGTGGAGGGAAGAGTTTGTCATTGATGCAGGTTGATGGGGTTGGAGATAGCGGGGAAGAGTCTGAGTGAGTAGAGCTGGAGACACTTGGAAATTGCTCGTCACTTGGGAATATGGAGATCAATCCCCTCAGCATTATTCTCGTCAAGAGTGATAGCAAGGGGGATCGCATGCTCTTCAGATATCCTCATGCCACTAATCATGAGAAGGATTCCAGTCATTTCGCCAAGAGGAAGAATCCATACTCACTTATCATAGCTGAGGATCTCTTACAGGTTAGAATTCCTCGTAATTCTCGGGAATCATCTGGGCAATGTTAAATATACTCGCCCACAGACATTTACATAGCGCTTTCTTAAAAAAAAATCAACGTGAGTTCTAAAATAAAATTATTCATTAAAAATTCAACAACCAAGAAACATATCACAATTGGTTTTTAGAATAATTGAATTGTTTGTCACTTATGTTTTTCTTACATTGTTTAACTGTCATTTACGAATATATTTGTAGAAATGAGAAAAATTCAGGGAATTTGTCTTTTCATAGGTATGCTGAGTATTCTTATTCAAAAATTCAATGAGGCTCTCATGAAAATTACGAGTTCTTGGTTTTTTCAATGTGACGGAAGGTTGAATTTCCATTTATTACCAGTTCATCTATTTTCGCTCTAAATTTTACAAGAGTGTTGCTACTCATTGCATTCTATGTAAATGTTTCGCATTAACGTAATGTTTCTCTCTACTTATCAGTATACAAGCATTCGAAATTAATTCAACCAATCCTCCTCGCTATAATGAAAACTTTAAATAGTTCATGCATACACATTTGATATTGCAGTCCCTGCCTTGTCCAACATCGAATATAACGAACGGCAATTTGACTGGACTACCTGATGAAGTACTATCAACCCTATTTGCTGTTAAGCCGGAGCTCTGTGAAATGAAATTCGAATTAAAAGTAAATAATGTAAGATTCGTGGGTCATCCAACCCTATTATCATCCAGAGGACTGAAAGAAACCAACTCTTCAATGTTATTCAATGTTGTATTTGCACTTCAAGCCCAGGCCGATCATTCTGTCGTCAAGTGCTATTACGATCTGAGTAAGAGGTCAGGGACTGACAATTTGTCTGAAAACAATAAAATTGTATGAAATTAACGGTGAGCACATATGGAAAATTTACGAAATTGAATTGTTTTGTTGAGTTGCAGGTTGGGAATTGCCTTGAGGCACGAGGAAAAGAGATGTGGATTTTTATCGAGTGAAATTAAAGTTATGGTTTTGACGCACGATGAAATAGCCACGAGGTAATTCTGCTGGGAGAAATTAATTTCAAGTTGCATCATAACTTTTGCAAAGTTATTACAAATTGGTTCACGTCAGGAACGAATTTCATAATAAAGATATATACTTTACTGAAAAGATTAACAGTTTTTTAATCACTCAAAATTTGACAAAATTGTGGAATAAACATATCTCACTTTAAATTCATTAATCACCCCGCAGATGTGAAGAGGAAAACGCATGCAGCGAAAATCCATACGAACAGATCCTCAAGAAGAGTTCACTTGCAAGAGATTTGAAATCAGCCTTCAACAGTCTGTGCACGTCAGGTTTCGTGGACCTCATGATAAACAAGTGGATCCAAGTGAGTTTCTGTCTGCCTCAGAAAGTTCACCAGTTTCACAAGAAAGGTTTCATCATGAACCCTGAAACGATAGACAGGTGTTTGGATAGTTTGAGGCCATATCATGGGATTCTCCTGCTCATAGAGCCCCTGGATCTTCTGGAGTCACTACCTGCGGATGCGTCTCCTGCTCTTAGGCGATTAATCCAGATGTATAATCCCCTGAAGAGTCTGCAAACACTGGCTGCAGATTCGGATTTGTCGTTGGCCCAGGTTTTCCAGTTGACTGGACACCTCGTTTACTGGGCAAAGGCCACAATTATTTATCCTCTGTGTGAGAGCAATGTGTATGTCGTTTGTCCAGACGCCTTGATTTCCAATCAGCTGATGGAGGCTTTCTCCGATCAATTCCCAGGATTGTCACTGCTCCAGGTAACACTTAATCATGGACTCATTCCATTTATTTTCATGAATTATCCATTTCAATCCATTAAATTCAGATATATTTCTTCTCAGCTCCCACTACTGCACTGAATTGCTAATTCTGCTCCATCATAATATCCTTTCAATCGGGTATCGGCATGAGTATTGATTTTGAATTTTTATTTGTTTTATTTTTGCAAAGTTCAAAGGTTTTTAATTACCAAAATAGGTAAATTGAAGAATAATCAATGACAATAACGATAATTCATTGAATACAAAGTATTTTTTATTCGAGTTCTATTCTCCGCGTTCGATTCTGGACGTAATGAATTTATTTTAATTCGACTGTTCAATTACTGCTCATATAAAAAACTGGCAATAGTATGGAATTAATTCTACATTTTGTTACAGATCATTAGTGAGTTTTCCCTTCCAACTTCGATTAGTCAAAAACTCAATCCACTGAATCAACCTCAACAACAGCAGCAGCTTGTGAAAATAATAATCTGGTTGTTGAGACATCATCTGTTATTGCAGCTGCACACTTACGTGCAGTACATGCCAACGGATCAAGGCAGAAATACACTGGTAAGATTAATAATAAAGTCTGAGAATTTTTGGGGGTTTAAAGATAGCTAAGTACCGCTTGCAGTTGCGGACAAAGTTCATTATATACTAAGCAACTAAACAATTTTTTGTTTAAGCGGTAATTGTTTCAAAATCAGTAAACATGTTTATCATGAAATTACTACTACATCGTTGATAGTTTATTTGATAATTAGTACTGTAGAATCTCCTTATAATCTTCTCAATTTTTTTTTTCGCGTATGGTTCTGTTTGCTACTATTCTACTATCTCCAAGCTGGAAGATGTAACCAATCATTTAAACAATTCATTGTTTGGTTCAGTGAAGAATTTAATTGCTTTTAAAATAATCCCGAAAAATAATTTTCTCTGGTATTCGAATTTGCTATTAAAAAATTTGCTGTGATAGGTGCCCGTAATCACGCGGTTCTAACCTCGCTTCGCTCGGTAAAATCGCGGATTACCGGCCCGATGACATAAAATAGTGTACTAAACACGTGCGTTATGGTTTTTTTGACTCGTGGGATTGTAAAACTCGCCTTCAGCTCGTGTTACAACCCTCCGACGAGCCAAGAAATCCATTACGCACTTGTTGCGTAATATACTATAATTTATGGTCGCAGCGAACGCGTGAGGGGGATAGACGCGTAAAGTCGAATTGTCCGAATTTGTTTTCCCTACAGCTCCATGCACGCGAATATAACGGGAGTATACTGTAAAGGACGAGTAAATAACAATCTTATTAAACCATTCACATAATGTTGCTTTTAGATATTCAAATGTTGAACATGGCTGCAAAATATTCGCTAGTTTAGACTCAAAGACGAGAGCTTTAATGATTAAAGAGATTTTCTCAAGTAGATATACCGGAAGGGAGGGAATTACGAATTTATTGCAGAGTAATTTCCGTGAGCCATAGGATTTTGCAGAATTCAGGGAGCTCAGATTTTCCACGAGCTTAACTGCAGTAATTAAATATTCAATCATGAGTGTCCATTTGATTCAGTCTATGATATCCTCGTTAAATTTTTTATTGAGCGAACAGTTGGTTCGAATTCATAATCCTCCAGGAGTATTTAATCCGGAATTTTCCCATTCTAGGGGACAATTTTATTGCTAAAATCGTGGAATAACGAGTATTTCACTTGAAACTCCAAGTCCCATTCGCCCTCGCTGTAATTTCACTGTGGAAAATAGAATTTTCAGAGGATTGCAAGTGCAAAATATATAGTGGACTTCAGTTGAATGTAGATCAATAGGATTGTGTGTGTGATTGTATATAGATAAATGGAATTTTAAAGTGCCCACTCACAACTGCATTGCCCTCGGAATTAAATGGAGAGTCAATCTTCATTAGTAGAGTTTAATTGTTCCATTATGAAAGTTTTCGATTCCATGGCAGCTGCAAATGAAAAATTAATCTGACAATCTCAATTTTTTAACCCACTTGTCTCTCTTTTATTTCTAATAAAAACCGTCGAAACCACGGATTCGGTTTTCCCCGACTTTAATACAATCAGACGCCGTTTGATTGAAACAATTCGATGCAATATAATTTTGAAATTTTAATCAACACAGATAAAAGCCCTGGAATATCCTGAATCAGTAAATGACCTCAGAGTTCATTAAAATAATGACAATGATAATGTAATATTTGAAGGAAACCCTGAGCCAGGAAGGGTCGAGCCCGACAGGAGCAACAGAAAACGACAGCAGCTGGAGTTTGAGCAATACTCCAAAATCGACCCCAAACGAAATGAAAGCCGAGAGATCAATGGCTTTGCCGAAGGAGGATGGCCTCTTCGAGTACAGATCTGACAATTTTCCGATTCCTCCTGACGACATAATGCTGCTAGACCGTCTCTGTAGATTTGGTTACTTCGACGGTGGCCATCACCTCGAGGAAATCATGTACTTTGAGAATATACGAAGATCCCAGTTGCTGCAGATTCTCGATAAATTTCGAGACATTTTAATCACCTCCGAGCACGAAGATCCAGCAATAGCATTATTCTACTCTCAGCATGGATCCCCATAGCCCAATACTTGAAAAATGAATATCAATTGAAAATATAAATGTTGATGTGTAAAAATATAAGCAATTTCTTATTCTTTGTAAATAAAAAGAAATTTTTATTTCACTCATCTTCGTATCTTATAAATTACTCACGACTCGATTGATAAAGGAGGTAAGTTTAAAAAATATATTCCAAAAACATAATTTTTTAATCATAGTTATTATTATCGTTAATATCCATATAATTATCAATAACTACAGCAAAACACAAAAAACAAAAAAAAATGTGATATCTGTACACTTTATCTTCTCTTAATGCGAACAAACATAAACTTTTTGTTATCATTTATATCATTAGTCTACGATAGGACGAAACTAAATCGTAGTATTCACAGATATTTTACAAGACAGACAGAGCACCCACTGCTGCTACTTTATCTCCTCTTCTTATTATTTATATTGAAATTGTTATAAAAAAATGAGACGCTTGACGCAACGAAAAGCAATCCTACTCTGTCAAAATGAGCGTCAATTCAATTGTAGAAATTATTGATAATTCAGCAGTGTGTGCCTTCTGTTACCCCAAATATATACTTAGTCGTAACCGCAATATACGTGATTTAGTTTTCATTTACTTCTCTCGATCATTCATTTTCCTTATTACTTCTAATAGACTGTACATATGAACAACGCATCCTTTACACTGTACATACACACGCTCACGAGTATCTGCACTGCATTTATTTTTATTTTTATTTATTTTTTTATTCTCATGAAACTCTAGGGATAGGGATGGGCAGGATATTCATGACCATTCGCCACTGTCAATACACTTACCATTTTCATTATTCTTTTGCTCATTATAATTGTTCTCTTTCGATAGGAATTTCTCTCCATTAACAACTTATCCCTATAATGCGGAAACGTGAGCCTTCAGTTATCTTTATATGTTATTTTTCTTCACGTTATGAAAGTATTTTAATATTGTCCAACTGGGACTCCCGACGTATATTCGCTCTGAAACGTGGAAATTCTAATTCTATTCTCAAAATTTTCATCAAAACGCTTTCAGATATTATTATCTGGTATATAATCATTTTTTACATAAATGCTTCGTCTGAATTGTGACGTGGGGTGAGAAAATTAAAATTGTTTAATTACCCATGTGAGAACATATCTGTAGAAAAACTCATCGCATTTCATTTAATTGCAGAACAATTCCCATTAATTTCCCAATTTTTTACGACAATTGCGACAACAGTTCCCTTGTTCTTCTGCATGTTCGTCAAAATTTCTGTATTATTTATTCTATCGAGATGATTTCTGTGAAAATTCCTCGCCTCAATTTGTTCAAGTTCTTTCAGGAGTTGTGTGATTAATGGAGAGAAATGCAGTGAAATAAAAAATTTTAAACCAGGAATTTCTGCGAAAAATATCTCGATGAAGAATATTTGATATTGAAATTTTTCAGAATTCTTTTTCAGGACGTTTCCACATAATTATTAATAGAATTGTTTAACAAATGGGCTGAGTTTTTCTATGAAAATTTATTCGTGCTTGGTTGATCCATTTGAGGCTTTGTACATTCCATGTTTTTTTAAAAGGGTGGCTTCTACAGGACAAGTCTTAATGAACGCCAAGTTTAATTATCGTTGACAGATGTTTTAATAAAAAAAAATCAGCGTGTCATATAACTTTGGCGTGATAACTCCAGCAGGATTTCATTATCCCCAGGCGTTACTTCTGTGGGCGTGGGTAATTAATATGTTCGTTCATTCAATGCATCAACATTGACCAGAGATCCAGAGGATTTTTACTTGAGTCATTGATAAACTTGGGCATTTAGTACCAATGGGGGTTTGCATGACTCCTAAATAATTCCTAATAAACCTAATAAAAAATAATAAAAATAAAGCAAACAGTTATAACAAAGTCCATGCAATTCGCAGTGATAAATCGATGGAAATTTACAGAAGTAGCCCTAGAGGACAATAAAAATAATAAAATTATTGTGAACCATGGAATAAAGAGAAAGCATTTAATGATTTATCACGTTGTGACATGAAGGAAAAAGTAATCAGCAAATCCCCCATTGTCACGTCTGATTATGTGAGGTGAAAAAATGTCTGAAGTGAATGGAAGTGAATGCAGTCGAGGCTTCAATGGTCACTGAGATCTGTCACACATAAAAACGAGCATGACTTAAACAATCATTTCAGCCCACTGTGGTCATCATCGAAAAGATGCCTCTAGGGCAATCGACGCTGTATCCCCTCAAAACACTACGATTAAATCGTTTTCCAGCGGTATAGAGTAGATATAGAATAGTAGTGGTAATAGAAGATAGTTTTCTTTTGTAGTTATAGTAGTTGAAATAGGAGATTAATAAGATTTCAAGATTTTGTCGTTTCATCGTCGAAATAATTTCTGCAGTAACAGCATATCGAATTGAATTCAATGAATAAAAGACTCCATGAGTAATAAAGAATAAGAATGATAATAATAATTAATATTATAAGTTCTTTATAATGTACATATTTCATTAATCACTAATTTGCATTTCTATAATTAATTAATAATTAATCATGATGATAATATGTTACATCCTGCTAGGAATTTGTTTTATGGTACACTAGGGATAAACACCTACATAGTCCTTGAAATTCATTACTTTTTTTTTTGTTTCACTTAATATTTTTTTTTCTCGTTAATGTCTACAATTCACTTGTCTTGTAACATCTTGTTTTGTCCATTTACTTTCTAGTTTCGACAGGAGCAGCGGCGGCTTCAACTGCAGCAGCAGCAAAGAACTAATGTATACAGTAATATAATACATAGGTATTTATATAGAGTAATTATTTATACAAAAACACATCACATATCGCGCGCACCTGGAACGGCTTGCTTTTATGTAGTTTTAATATTTTTTTTACCATTTTTTGCCATTTTTTTTTCTTCCTTTCTTTATCATTATTATGATTTACCATCTCAATGTATTTTACCATTATATATGCAGATATCGTTAAATAATTAAAATCACAGTAGTTATGCCCTCGCTGGCTCGCTTATATTTATACAACATTAATTCTAAGCCTTAATTATAAACTCGTGTTTATATGTGTTTATTCTAGAATTATTTTTTTCCTCTTATTTCCAGTTTTTTTTTCTTTTATTGATTTATACAGCTGGGTGCTTTAATTTCTGGTGGAGTTGGGAAAGTTTCGATCGTTTAATGGCGCAAGTACGGACGTCTCTATTCTTTATTTTTCTCTTCTCTATTTCTCGTCAGTTGCTGGTGCTTTTCTTGTCTTGTTTTGTTTTTTAATAATTTATTTTCATGTATATGGAGTGGGAGGGGATGTGCCCAATCTGCTTGTCGGATAGACCAAGAGTGATGTCGGTCATTCCCACAAACACGATCAGTTATTCGAATTAGGCTGTGAAAATGAGCCGATGCTAATGAAGGTGGAGAGGAACGCAAGGGTTTGTTATGGAATTTTGAAAAACCAATTTATCTAAAAACCGTGCTAACCTCCCCCGCTTTGTCACACAACCCCACCCCAATCTGTTCATCCACAATCAGGTCCAGTAGAGATGGATTCTTCATTTGATTGTCAGTTACGATTTATCGGTTTGTGGAAGTGTTGGGCTTCATGCCGTTCACCATTGGTTCGATGTGGTTTGATTTTGGATTTCAGGGTGATCAAATATCATCTGGTCTGGTCTCAAACGGTGGCGATGACGATTACCAAGTGGGCGATGTCGGCTACACGACGCAGCAGGTCTGGGGCTATTCGGGCTAGGCTGTCGTTGGCAAATTCACACGATGGAAATATGTGAACTACGTATGCAGGCTGAAAATTATTGTCACTGTTTTTATTCTGCACTTGGATTTAATTTATTGGCATTTATTTTTTCGACTTATTATGCTTTACTATTACCTGGAGATTTTAGAAAATTGATGGTGCAATTGATTTTTTTTTTTAATTAACAAAAACTGCTGAATTTCCTCTTTATTTCAAATTTCATTAGATCAAATTGACGAGGGATCGATGGATAGAATTTCTGACTCATTGTGTGGTTCATGTAATAACAAGTTTAATTTTTATGGAGAAAAAAATTATAATGAGAGAATTTCGATGCGTACCTGTTGCGATACTGGATCGTGGATGTTTACAATTCCAGCAGCTGTTTTTTGTTGTAAATAAGTAATAAATCCAGTTTGTAAGTTCTGACTCTGTTGAAGGACATCATCGTGGTCGTGACCACAAGGCAATGCCAGCAGCATACAGTGTTCATTGTCCGTCTGCAAAAGCCAAGATTGAATTTGAATTTAACTCTTGTTTTTTTTTTTTTCAATTAACGATGAAAGAAATGATTATGTAGTCATTACATACCTGCATCTTTCTGGCGACTCCCTCCACCTGTGTCTGCTCCAGCCTCATCCTCTGAGCAATTCTCAACGGTAATGTGGAGCCATCACTGTTGCATGGAAGACTCTCTCTGGCGACATTGGGATTGCCAAAGACAAAGTGCATCTGCACCACAGCTTGATCGTTCTTCAAGGCAAGGAATCCCTGCCACATGACAGGATACCTCTGGAGCAATCTCAACAATGAATCAGGCTGTGGCTGGGGCTGTGGCTGTTGCTGTGGTTGCGGCTGAATAGGTGCAACGTGAGGTGGAGTTGCAACTTGAAGTTTTCTGTGACGATCTGGTGTGAGTGCACGATCTGGTGAATCACTGGCCATCGGAAATTGCGAACGAATGTGCGCAGGTGGTGGATCGTAATAGCCAGGACGAGGTCCTGGATTTGTTCCTGCGTTGTACTGAGGTGGTGGTGGTGGCAATCTTTGACCGGGATGGAGCATGTAGACTTGGGCGACTTGGGGACTGTCGGTTGTACGCTCCTGGGGTGTTCTAGTGCCTCTGCGAAGCTCCAACGGTGGACTGTGACTCTCCTCACCCGTTGCCTCCATCTGGGGATCCAGGGGGAGATGGGGCGAGCGAGCTCCAGGTACGTGGTAGGGTATTCTCGGAGTGAGCACCTCCTGTTGGGCTCGAAGGTACTGATACTGTAGTGGGTGCATGTAATGTGCTGGCAATTCTGGACCCCTCGTAAGCCCTCCATAGTGATTCACCACATCACCCTGGACACAATTTTACACACATCGTTTAATGAATATTTCATCAAGTTTGCTCATGTCTAAGGCAAATTTTTTATTTTGGACAAAGGAAAATCTTACGACACGATTCCTACATTCAAAAGTAGAAAAACGAGGTAAATTGACTAATCCATCAGATTTTGTTTTAAACATTTCCGACATTAAGGAAAATATCAAAATTTTTGTCCGAAATTTTTGTTGTAGAACTAATTGAGAACTACGACAAAGATTGCTATCATTTCATCCCCCTTAGATAATCGCCGGTATTTAAAATTTTAATTTATTAGCCAGCTTGATTCTGTGCAGACAATATCTCAAACTACCTCTACTCGATGTCTTGATTTTCGAGCATGGAAAAATAAACGAATAAAAGCTTTGTAAGTACCTGAGAAGCATTAGCATGATGGTGGGCAGGTGGGGGCAGTGGAGGACTCTGGGTTCGATGCGGGGGCACAAGACCATATTGACCCCGTGTTGATGGAGCTGCGCCCACAGCACCATGCTAACCAAAACCAAGCAAAAGTTAGTAATCACAAATAGAACGGTTTATAATTTTTGTTTTGTTTTTTTGTTTGTTTTTTATATATATACAATGAAAATAAAAATTCTCACCAATGATGGCTCATACGAAGGAACATTGACATGGCCCTGAGGACTGGCAGTGGGTACCATGATACACCCAGAAAGCGATACATCAACCTTCGGAGGTTCCATAGTTCCAGGTACGCCAGTTTTGGGAACTCCAGGTCTGGCTCCAGTGACCACAGTGGGATTCCCCAGTGGGATATGTGGTTGAATGGGTGGGCTGGCGACACCTCCGGGGATGATAGTGGGTACAACAGCCTGGTGTAGATGAGATTTGGGACTGGGCAGATGTGGCTGTCCATTGATCCCCTTTAACGCAGTTGCTTGACTCACAGGATTGTGAACCCTCTTTACTGGTGGTGTAACTACCGCCGGATGAATATTAGTTGGATGCTTTGACATGTTGACAACAGGCTGTGGCTGCAGCTGTTTGGCAGCTTGAAGGAGATGCTGTTTGGGATTTGGTGGAATGTTGGAGCTATTGAGAACAGGTGACATGGGTTGTCCCTGTTTCCCGTTAGCTGGTGCTGTAATCTTCGGACGTGGACTGAGACTGGGTGACACCACACGACTTGGCACTGGTAGCCTGAGCCCCTGTACCCCTTGAGTCGGCTTAATGACATTCTGGATCTGCGGTTGACTCTGTAAACTCGGAATGACTGGTTTTGTAACGATAGTCTGAGGAATGGGATTGCTCAATTTACTGGCATTGAGAACATGGGCTTTGAGACTCGTCGGTTTAGTCTGAGCAGTCGTTATCGGGCTCGTCTGTGTGACAACGAGATTAGGAGCTGTAGTCATCAGGGTAGAAGTGGTCGTAGTGATGGTGGACTGAATGACAATGGAGGATGTCACCTGTTGATTCGGAGGAGACGGTTTTGTAATGACACTGGCTTGGCTCTTGGGTGTTTGACTCAAATCGAGTTCCTGATCGGCCTCTGTCTTCACAGAATTCTCCCTGGCATGAGGATGCTGAAGTTGATGATGCTGATGCGCTTCTGCCACTCTAGCCTCACTCCTCGCTACTCCAGAGGCTGTGGACACTGGGATGTACTGGCCCTCTTCAGACTCCCTCATGGGTATCAACATTCCTGTGACAGGATCAATGAGTGTCATGGGCTCCAGGGACTTGGGATTCTGGTGCTGTTGGACAACTGGTGGTTTCACTTCCTCGACTTTCTCTTCCGGGTTCTCTGCTTCTTCGAAACTCGCCTCTCTGGCCACCTCCTTGCTCTTCTCCTCGCTGCTGTCCTCATTGTTCTCAGAGGTTCTGCGATTTGCTCGCCTTCCCCCACGTGGCGATTTTCGAGGTTCTGGAGGCAGCTGAACAGGTTTTGGGGCGTTATTGTGCCTCGTGCTCCTTCTGGTGGCTTGAACACCTGGTGGTAACACTCCTTTACTAGCTGAGCCACGAACAACATCTTCGATTATGTCGTCGACTGTTGTCCTGCTGCCATCTTTCTCAGCTAATCTCTTAGATTTTCTGGTGTTGATGGCTGGAGAGACGAACTCCTCAGCAGGTACTTCCTTGACAGCAGCCACTGGTTGAGGAGGCTGTGTATTTCCAGCGACATTGGGGCCAGGTGATTTTATGGTAAGAATTAACCTGGGACGACCAGCATTGTCCTCTTCGCTGTCGTCATGAAACTCGTAGACATCAGCTGGCAATTTATTCCTCTCTTGTTTACCTCCCCTAGGCATTCTACCACCTCTACGTGAGGAAATGCCCCCTCGGCCACGTCTAGTGGTAACTCCCCCACGTCCAGCCCCTCGGCCTTTCTTCCCTCTTCCTCTCCTCGTTCTCGTCGCCTCGATCTCACATGTCTCAACACCCTCGTCCTGCTCCTCATTCGTGGAGAAGTCTTTCTTACTGTCGCCCTCGGTCGATTCAGTATCCAACCAGTCCTCACTTTTGCTCGTGTCGTGAGACTCACCATTGTGCTCCCTGTCGTGACTGTCGTCGTCCTCGTGACCAGTCTCATTTGACTCGTTGTCGCAGAGGGCATCTACTGTCTTAATGACACTCTCAATATTGACTTCCTTGGCTGACCAGTAGTCACTGTCCTCCTTACTGTCTATGTGATCCTCTTTGACGATATCCAGAGCCAGTGGATCTGGTTCCTTGGCCTCCCCAGGTGATCCCTCACTCGGTTTGTCGCTCTCTGGCTCCTGCTTCACCTCCTCTTCTTTCTTGATTTCACCCTCAGATTTCACAAGAGGAGTTCCTTCTGATAGATCCACAGGTTTCGGTGGCGCCTCAGTCTGCTCAGATTTGAACTCCACTGGAGGCTGGTCGTTTGGTGAGGCACTCTCAGTAACCTCTACCTTCACTACAATGTCCTGAACTTTTGGAGGCTCTGGAGGTGCTGGACACTCCAGAGGTTTAGCCTCGACAGGAGAGTGAACCGGTGCCAATGGGGACTGAACCTTCGTTAGAACAGGCTCAACTTTGATCTTCTTAGAAGTATCACTTCTCTCCCCTTCGCCGGGATGTTCCGGTCCTGTCGTGGGCGCTGAACTCATTGTCGTACACACAGGTGTTACATTTGACACTGAAACCCTTGTGATTTGACCAGCAGTCGAAACCATGGGTACATGCGGTTTCACCAACAAAACTCCTTGTGTTATCGAAGGCCTTGACAATTGGCCCTGCGACACAGGTGTCTTATCAGGCACCTGGAATTGAGAGACAACAGGCACAACAGTCTTGATCAATGGCTGACTGGAGACACTCGGTATAAACGAATGCACCACTGACTTGTGACCAAAATGTTGGCCATGAGCAACAATAACCGGACTCGGTGTAGAGGCTCTCGGTGTATGTGTCGTTAACAAGTGCATATTAACATCCTGTTTCTGCTTTGGAGACAGTAAATCATTATCAATAACTGGGTGTTTCTGTGATCTCGGTGACAAAGCAGCACTCTCAACACTCGTGGATTTACTTACGATTGGAGCTGAAGTGCTGGCATTGATCTCGATTTTTGCTGTCTCTGGGATGAACGTCGGTGGTTGATTTGGTGACGGGACCTTTGGTGACGTTGACGCCTTGTTAGGTGTCTCTGGGATAACAGCTGGTGACAATTTGGGCTCGTCGAGCCTCTGAGGCTCGTTGGGATGAGCAGCAATCATCGTTTCGATAACTGATTTGCCCAGTGACGAGCTATCACGTGATTTCGGCTGAATTCCAGAAGCCAGGGGTGGAACAGGCATATATGGTCTCGGTGGAATGTTGAGAGATAGCGGGGGAAGTCCTCCATGGGGATAGCTGGGGACCAGAGCCCTCATGCCAGGTGCATGCTGGATAACAGGTTGTTGGCTGGCAGCAGTCGAATAAATGTGCTGGGATGAGACCTCTGGTCTGTGAGCTGACAGTGGGACACTCACTGGTATTCTTGCCGGCGGTGTCGTCGATTTCACTTGAGCTCCTCCGTGGGACGAGTGTGGAGTTATTGAAGTTCTTGACCACTGGCCATTGGGGGACAGCGATTGGGATACTCTTGAGGTAAGTTGAGAGGGTACCAATGTGGAAATTCTTGACTGAACGAGAGGAGGAAGTGAACTCGATGAGATTGGTGAGATTGTTGAGATGGTTGAGATTGTTGAGATTGTTGAGATTGGTGAGATTGTTGAGATTGGTGAGATTGTTGAGATTGTTGAGGTTGTCGATACTGATGATATTGTGGAAATTGTTGTCGCTGGTGAGGCCGATGAGATTGATGAGACTGATGAGACTGTTGAAGCTGTTGGAATTGCTGGGACAGTGGGGATTGTCGGAACAGTTGGAATAGCTGGAACCGATGAAACAGCTGGAATTAGTTGGCCCGTTGTAACCACTGGTATTTTGGGAGTCGCCTGTCGCAGCGCTGGTACACTCTGGGCTTGAAGGGAAACTGGAAGTCGTTTGTAAAGAGGCTGTCCAGCAGTTGTTGAGATCGGTGGTCTGGGACTAACAGCTGCTGATATCCTTGGAGAGTCACTAATGACTGGAACCGAGGAGGGAAGAGGCTGTTTGTACTGAGGCGATGATGTTGGCACATCGTCCTGGCTGTCCCGAGGGGATTTACTTGCCTTGTGCTCAGACCACGAGTGAGAGATGACTGATGGAGGTGTCGAGGGTCTCGCACAATTTGCCTTATCAGGAATTTTGTTTCCTGATGACTTGTAGAAGGATGGAATGTCTGGGGTCTTCGGTGGTTGAGTGAGATCGAAGGACTCGTAATTGGGATCCTCCTCGGTGTCAGTGTCAATCTGAAGATCGTGCTCACTCTGTGGCGTGTCAGGTTTGAGATCTGCATCTGTATCAGCTGTGGAGGCATTGAGGCTCTCCACAGCCTGCTGCATCTCCTCGACGTCCTCCTGAGGGGCATCTGACGGTGGAATGCTTGCACTGTCACCCTCAGCTCCCTCCTCACCCTCGTACGAGAAGTCCTCGGTTGAACCACCGAATGTCTCTTCCAAAAGTGCAGCAACAGCATCCTCAGTCTCCTCCTGAGATATAACCACTCGAGGTTTATCCTCCACCTGAGGGGGAGGAGGCGTTGCTGGGGCTGGTGACTCATGCTCATGACTGCCAGCTCCAGATTTACGACCACTCTCTCTCTCCTCAGGCTCTGAGATACTCTTGATTGCATTCTCGTGAATTTTCTCATCAATGTCGATACCAAACCCAGGAATAAACTTGTCTTTTTTCTTGTCCGATTTTGCCGAGATTGTGGTGGTAGATGGTGGAGTCAATGGGGCTGATGATATCGGAGTCTTGGGAATTGGGCTGAGTTCCCTGGATATCGGAAGAGTCGGTGACATTGTTTTACGAGGAAGAGGACTGCTGGCTCGTGGGGGACTTGGATCAGCTCCCAGATAAGGCAGTGCACCAGCTTTTTCGTGATGATGGTGATGATGGTGGTGATGATGGTGATGATAGTCCTTTCGACTCCTCTCTTCTTTGGACTTCTTCCTCTTTTTCTTCTTCTCCTTAATCTTTTCAGGGGCTGTGGTGGGTGTTGATGGCTCGTGACTATCGTTATCATCTGTAAACCTGAAGACATCGTGATCATTCGTCTCTGTACAGGTAGCCGCTGGTTTTGGTGATGAGGGTAAACCCAAGAGTTTTGCCTCAATCTCGCGACCGGCCTCAGCAAGGTCCACGCTATTTTCATCGTCAGCCTGATGACGACGTTTCTTTTCGGTTTTCCTTCGAATCCTCTCATCGATAATTGGACTGCGAATGCCATCGCTGTCAGTGGCGTAGGTGTTGTTCTCGGAGGGTAGACTGCTGAGACGATTGAAGAAAGCACTGGAGGGCGCTTCGTCGACGTCATCAGACAAAGGACCAAAGATATCCTCCATTCTCTGAGAGTCCCTGGCCTCTTGACGACTCAGACGTTTTCTTCTTGCTTTTACCTTGTCCTCACTAGTTCTCTCTCGTCTCTTATCCTTCTTATTTCTTTGCTTCTTATCATTTCTCATTCGCTCTTCAGTTCCCTCTGACATTGTCGTCGTAATTGCCGCGATTATTGGACTCGTGTCATTGAGGTGATTTGTTCGAAGCTCAGGGAGGATATTCTTGCTCTTGTGATCGAGACTGTCAGAGGGGGGTTCTGACTTGATTGTGATGCCCTCCTCACTCGATATCGATGACTTCTGGCGTTTCTGCTTCTTCTTGTGGGACTTTTTCCTCTCCCTCTGGTGATTGTTAACTGGATGATTCGAGGGAAACTCCACCGTTGGCATTCGTTCCTCATCGTCTGATGATCGTGGTTCCTCCTTGATCGTTCGAATCATGCTGGAGTCTGTTGGTGTGTGTTTTTCCTCAGTATCAGCGAAACCCAAATCAACGTCACTCTCCACGAATCTCTCAGTTTTGATCTTATGTAATTTATTATTGAAAGAGTCATCCTCCTCACTGGTGTCCGAGTGGATTCTCGAGCGTGAGCCTTTCCTAGATAGAGATTTTGTGCGAGTTGAGTCGGATTCTGTAGACTCGTCCTCAGTGAGGGCTTTGCTGCTCACCGAATCCCCATCCCAAGATGTACTCTGCTTCTTCTCCTCTCGTCTTGCTCTACTCTGTTTTAACTGTGAGAATTTATCCTTAAGTCTGACCTGACGCTTCTCCTCCTCGAGCTTTTGCATATTCTTGGTGGATCTCGCTTTCACTTTGTCGTACATACTGATGTACGCCGGTTCGTCATCAATTATATCGAATATCGAGTGCTTCTTGGGCTCGTCACTATCGGTGTCAGTGGTGTGAGAAGGATGTCTCGTTTGAATTTCGTGTGCTGACGAGTGGCCATCGTCATTATCAGAGTGCAGATTCATGGAGACCTGGTGGTGGTGATGGTGGTGATGATGATGATGGTGATCACGTGACTCTTTGTGACGCGAGGGTATCTCCTGATTATGGGGTGGACTTGAATCAGAGCGTTTTGCCAATTCCAATCGGACGAGAAATTCTTTATCGAGATCGTGGGACACTCGAGGGCTGCGCTCTCGTTCTTTGTCAGAGCGTTCCATTCTACTCCTTTTTCTCTGTTTTTCCTTGACACTTGAACTGTCCCTATTATCTCTATTTTCCCGATTCTCCCGATTCTCTCGATTCTCTCGATTCTCACGATTCTCACGATTCTCACGATTCTCTCGATTCTCTCGATTCTCTCGATTCTCTCGATTCTCTCGATTCTCTCTATTTTCTCTATTTTCTCTATTCTCTCTATTCTCTCTATTCTCTCGATTATCTCTGCTCTCTCGATTTTCTCTCCCCTCCACCTTGATTTCCCTCTGTGCTTCCCCATGCCCTTGAGAATCCCTGCTCTCCCTGCTATCTTGGCTTTGTACAGAGGTCGAAGAATCCTTACTCTCCCTATTATCCCTACCCTCCCGACTAGTCCTGTGAGCCTCACTCCTGTGTTTACGATCTTCGGATCTTCGATTTTGCCTGGGCCTGTCCTTACTATCCCTCCTGTGCTCAGATATCTTCATTCTCTTCGCTTCATCCTCAGGTAGAGCATCTTGAGAGGAACACCTGCGTTTGCCAGAGACAGGCGCAGGTGATGCCTGCCCCTGAACCTGAATACCATGGAGATGATTTTCAGGCCTCTTCCCCTCCTCCCTCTCACGTTTTTCTTTCTCCTCTCTCTCCCTTCTTTTCTCCCTCTCTGCCTTTTCCTTTTCCCTCCTCTCTTGATCCTCCCGTCGTTTCTCCTTTTCATGCTTATCTCTCTCAAGCTTCTCCTTCTCCTCCTTCTCCCGCTTCTCCTTTTCGATCCTCTCCCGATCTTCCTTCTCCTTCCGCCTTTCTCTCTCAAGCCTCTCACGCTCCTCCCTTTCCCTCTTTCTCTCTCGTTCGATCCTCTCCTTCTCCTTCTCCTCTCTCCTTCTTTCCCTCTCGAGCCTCTCCCTCTCTTCCTTCTCTCTCTTGTCCGCCTCCTCCCGTTCCTTTCTCGCTCTCTCCTTCTCCTGCTTCTCCCTCTCCTTCCTCTCTCGCTCCTCTCTGTCCCTGCGCTCCCTCTCTTTTTCCTCCCGTTCCTTTCTCTCCTTCTCCTCTATCTCCTTTCTCTCTCGTTCTCTCTCATCCCGTTCCCTTCTTTCCTTCTCCTTCTCCTTCTCCAGCCTATCCTTATCGGCCCTCTCCCTCTCTTCCTTGTCCCGTCTCTCTTGTCTCTCCTGTCTCTCAAGTTTTTCCCTCTCCTCCTTCTCCCGTCTCTCCCTCTCCTCACGATCTTTCCTCTCGTACCTTGCCTCCTTGGTCTCCTTCACTGGGGGATTTTCTTTGTGCCCCTCGTCAATCCCCTCACTCACGCGTTCCTCCTTATCGTATTCTTTTCTAGACCTTGTGTCTTTGTCCTCAGTTTCCTCCTTTCTGGTTTTTCTGCTCTCCTTGCAGCTCTTAGCATGCCTCGAATCCCTACTGTCCCTGCTATCCCTGCTCTCCCTCCCAGCCTCCTTCCGCGATCTCACCTTTCCTAAATCGCCTGTTATTATTCCTGTTGGTCCACTTGCACCTGTCACTGCTGTTGTCACTTGAGAAATGCTCGTTGTGCTCGTTGTAGTGTGCACAGTCGACTGACTCGAGGTTGTAATCGTCGTAATAGTCGTTGTTGCGGTGGTAACTAGTGCCATCACCGTCGTCACAGCTGGACTTGATATCGTCACAGGACTAAAAACCATCGATGACATCGACGCCGAGCCAATATTAACATTTGACATTGACAAGCCACTGGCAGCAAACGTGCTTGTCCCTGTGACGTGCCCAATTGGCAATGAGACTGGTGGCAATTCTGGACTAGCTGTTTTAATCGATGTGCCGGGTGTTATCGGTGTTGCTGGGGGTGGATGAATACAATTATGTACAGCAATACGAGGATCAGTCTTTAATGATGGTGATACGAGTGTTGTTGATGTGATACATGAGGTAGTGCTGGCTGGTGGATGACTTGGGAATGGATACTGTAGGCAAACTTTTCCACAAGTACCACCTGACGATAACGTTGAGCTGGCCATCGATGATATCCCAGTGAATTCCCTTGGTTCGTACTTCTCGTTGAAGTTCTCGAGTCTCTTCGAGTCCTCGTCGAAGACACTGCGTTTGGCTAGAACCGATTTAACTATGTCTGATGGCTGTACCTCACTGAGATCACTGAGATCAAGTAATTTATGACGAAACCTGAATCTCTCTGAGGCTGATGCATCGAGCTTGGCAAGTGCATCACCACCAGCAGCACTTAGTGCACGTGAGCCAGACCATCTCTCGTATTTCTCATCCAATGAACGTATTCTCTCCTCGAGACTTGGTGATTGTGGTGCTGTCTCACTGTCTGAGCTCGTTGGGCTTGGGCTAGGATGTCTTGGTGGTGGTGAGGCTGGTGGTTGTGGTGCAGCACGAGGACTTGGTAGTGAGGGTAAGACTGTATTGCCCGGTGGACTCGCTACTTTTGGTACATTAACACTCGTCGTTCGACATCCACCAGAGCTGTTGTTATTATTATTCATCATTTGAGCAGCAAATCTGGGGAGGGGGAGGGATAGAGGTCCCTCTTGGCTTCTCTCACGAAACCTTCTGGGCTCACTGGGCATTATATTCTCAGGTCTCTCATCTACCAGAGGTGTTCCAGGTCGAGAGCCGTCGTGATGCTCATGATGCCTGCTGGAGGTATCTCGTCTTCTTTTGCAGGGTCCTGGTCCTCTCCCCTCGCAGCTACCTCTTCTCGCTGTATGGTGGAGGATCTTGCTGTCACTCACTCGTCTGACATCCATTCCCTTTCGCGAATGGGATGTCACCAGCAGTGAGGCAATCTCTGACTCCTCCTCCTCACCGAGAATCGATGCCTCCAATTTACGTTTCTTTGGTGCAAAACCCTCGTCACCACTGCTGTGACACTCCTCAAGTTGCTCGAGAAGATGAACGCGCTCCTTCTGGAGGTGACGAATATCGGGGGGTGGCAGGAGTATTGGAGGTGGAGCTGGAGGATCAACACTCGTTACAACACTCTGAACAATGTGTCGTCGTGGAGGTGGTGGTAAATCGTCGTCATTCAATTTACTATCACCAATTACACTGCTCTCGTAATCGTCGTGACTAGCACCACTACCCTGACTGAATTCGTCGTAACTGCGAAATCTACGGGGTGGTGGATCCGTGTAATCACCGTCGTAGTAGGGGTCTGACTGATACGAACGTCTACTACTTCGAGACATGGCTGTTGGATGGGCTGGACTGGCACCTGGGGTGCTACCACCACCTGGGGTTCGAGAGTACGAGGCTGTCCTTGCTCGTGGTGGGGTCTCGTAACGTGTGAACCTGCTACCCGCGTTTGGAACTGTCACTGATGACTCAAAGCTGCGCTCTCTCCTGTGGACACATTTCAGAGGGATAATAAAACAACAAATTCCGAGTTCAATTCCTTGGCTTTTCCCTTAACCCTTTATCCCTTTTCCATTCAAGTAATAATTCAAATAAAATTGGAGAAATTAAATTCTATTGAGAATATCATTCCTTCCAATATTTTCAAAGTAAATCGCTTTCACTATCAAGTGGAAATAGAAATTTGGAATTTAGTTCATGAATTGTCTTTGTCTTTTGAATTTAATCTTCTTTTGAATTGCATACAGAGTTTCATGGGAGTTTTAATAAATATTATAATTGCCTCACTATCCATAGATATAGTTGAATATAGGATTAAAATGATAATTGAGTTGTCATGTGTACTCACGCAACGTCAAAAGTCGCAGCAGGTGAGGGCCTGGAGTCCCATGGCTTCTCCCCAGCAACACCCTGCCTCTCAAGATGCTCGTAGAATGTCTCTTGACACTCCCTCGAGGCAAAATCCACCTGCAGTCTACGTCCCCTGAGCGATGCCCCTCTCATCTCTTTAACAGCAGTCTGTGAGCAACTTATCTGCTCAAAGAATATGAGAGCATGTCCACGCTCACGATCTACAACAACTTGATTTATTGGTCCAAACTGATGGAACTGCATATTCAGGTACTTTTCAGAGACACATTCACCGATACCATCGACCCACACACAAGGGGTTGGCATTGATTTTCCAAAACCAAGTTTAATCCGATTAGCACCGAGATGTTCACCATCCATCGAACGCATGGCTTTCACCACACTTGTTATGTCCGAGTACTGGCAGAAAGCATAACTCGATACAGCTCCCTGTTTTTTTATATCGATCTCCTGGAATTGCAAAAAAATATCAACAATGAGTACCAGTTTCAGCGATTAGCTATCATTCAGGTGAGTGAGATTAGCACTAGGAACACCATTTTTTCATCATCCATCATACGCAGTTGAATTTTTAACTGCAGCATTAGCTTCATTGCCAATTGCATAACTCAACATTTTATCATCATTATCAGGAGCAATTCAGGCACAATCTCCACACAACATTTACAGACGCATTACATAAAGGTTTCTGACTCGAACTTCTCAGCATATCAGATATTATGCAATTGCTAAGTTTCTGCAATCTGCATTTGTGTTATGTCTTTGGAATATTCAAGTGCCTCGTACTGGTTACCACAGACAATTCACCACTCAGAAGTAAATCAACATGATATCACAAAAATTATTTCCTCAGCCAAAAATATTGCATCATCCAAAAAATGATTACTCCTTATTTTTATCCCAACCAATTTATTCTAAGAAGAGAAGATATTTCAAATACGAAATTACAATTGTGATATCATGATATATTTATCAGTTGAACGATTTGTATATTTGTATATAAGTCCTTCAAAACAAGAAAAAATAATGATGTGCCATTATTTTTAATTGATTTCATTTAAGGGGAACAGCATTTGAAGAGTATACTACATTATGGTGGAAACGTAGTGAGGATGACTTACGATAATTTCGCCAAACGGTTCAAAGTGTTTTCTCAGCTCTGACGCTGTGACATCTTTCTCGAGATTGCCAATGAAGAGAGTTCTCGTGGCCTTGGGATGGTACTCATCGAGTTCAGCCTCGTACGGCCTGAACTCATTGTCCTCAACATCATATCCCTGATAAGGTGCAACTTCGATTTTACAACCGAAGAATAATTTATCGTGGGACACCTCGAGGGCCTTCTCCACGTCCTCCGGCTTTTTGAAGCACACGAGGGCATACCTATCACCAGCAGCTCCAACAACCTTGACCCACGTGACTTTTCCATGCTTCTTGTATTCATGAAAAAGTCCATCTTTCAACGACGTATCACTACTTCTTGCTGGCAAATTTCTCACACATATTGCCAGTGGCCGCCTGTCATCGGAAACAGCTGCATTACTTGTACGGTGGGGTGAACTACCCGGTGAACTACTACCACCAGATGTACTACCACCTGAACTGTTACTACGACTGCTACTACTGCTACCCGAACGACTCGAGCCACTTGGTGAACTGCTACCACTTCGCGATTTTCTACGTTGTTTTTTGTGTTGCCTTGAGGTACCGCTGTTGCTGCCGGTGTTACCACTTCCGGTGTTACCACCACCTGGGAATCAATCACATTTTCGGTGATGTGTTGTTTTTTAATGAGCACATAGTAATTGATTAATATATAAATTAGTAATTTAATAATTAATTAAGGACGAGAAGAAGAAGTGCTAAGTAATATATATTACCCGATTCTTCCTGGTAACTGTCAGTAGGAGCGGGCGAGGGTGGCGGTGGTCCAGAAGCATACCTAGAGGATCCAGTCTCGTAACCGAGCCAGGATGCCATTGGTATGCTGCTCCGATGACGTTCTATATGGGATGGTGGGGGTGGACCCGTTGGATAAGAGCTGGTTCTTGGATAAAGCCGATCCCTCGCCCTCGTCGACGTCACGTGGTAGCCACCACCCGTTGTTGGCCTACCACGTGGTATGTAACCACCCGTCTCGACCGCGGACGAATCGACCGTGTGTTCAACCCTGTTACTTCTCTCACTGGGATAGAAACCTCCGTGGGATACACGGGACTCGAAAGTCTCGTTACCTCTGTCGACAACTCGCTCGTTGACACGATCTGTCGTAACTCCACTGACTGAGTTAACGCCGCTACCGACGTTACCAACGACGCTCGATCCATGATCCTCAGAACTTCTGCAAAACCATCGATTATTTAATCACTCACAATCATCTTATCATTCTTATCATCAACTGAAATTCCCCCAAAAATCCTATTTTTCATCAAATTTTATACTATCCTACGAATGAAAAAACAATTTATGCTCTGAGTGAAAAAAAAACCCACTTTTCATCATATTATCATATAATGTGATATAATCCCACCGGCGAAACTAACCCTCATACTCATTTATTTTCATTACGTTGACAATTTCGAAATGTCGAAAAAATTCTGATAGCGCAAACTTGAATGATGAATTATATAATAAATATAGTTTAATCTCATGAAATATTCGGTAGCATGCAGCTGCGAGGGAAGATATCCATTTGAATTGAGAAATCTATTTCTTGCTTGTCAATGAAGCGCATTGAATTACAACTGACTTGACCTGTAATGTTCATTTGGAATATTGAGGAGCAGTGAATATAGGTAGAATTGATGTAATGAAATATGGAGAATCGAGTGACAACGGAAGACCCAAGCATTCGTGAAATCTTAATGCTCCCCAGGTACTAGTTTTGTAATTACATAAACTACTGTATGGCATACGTCCAATCTTATAAATCCTCTTCAGTGTTTCAAGTCAAGCGAAGTTGCTTGAAAAGTTTGGTATAAGTGAAGTTAAAAGTAGTGCTTCACATCATGCAATCTGACTAGACAGATATGGAAACATTGAGTCGTAACATGAGTGGATTAGAGACTATCAAACGATGCAAAAAGCAAGAATTATACTCCTGCGCACTTGCTGTTGGAGGGTTATCTAGGAATGACAAGGCATTTGCTCTTGAGTCAATAGTACGTCATTAACGCAACATTGTGATACACCGTAAAAAGATTCTCCGATCGCCATCACTGCCGATTGAGTGTATCTATTTTTTCCACTTTTATTACATAATTTCGTAGAACAAAATGATATCCAATACTCATCTCAATCACAAACACAATAAGTTATTATACAATTCCCGTTATTTCCATCATCTACGATAAACTTATTTAATTTTCGTCCTGACATTAATAATTTCATTACTCGCATAGAAATGACAATGAAATCATGCAATCATCGTCTACCGGTTTTTACCCAAAAACGTTAATTAACATTATTTCAAATTCTCTCGGTGTGCTGTCAAGTTGCAGAGTTTAGAATTTTTAAAATATGAAGTATCACAATTGTATATGTGGATTAATTGTTGTAATTGTATTGTTGCAAACAAAAATATTGCAGACATTTATGGGCTTTACTGAAAGTTTGGAGAAAAAAAAAGAATTTTCACACGATTTTTTAAGGGAAAACTTTACTAAAATGAAAGAATCGAGTGTACGAGTTTTGGCTTGTGGGGTTTTGCCGAAAATAATGCGTGAGTGCTGGCTACCCTTGCATATTTTTTATTCATCGCGTGAATTGTCAAATGCAGACAGGCCTGAATTTACAATCGCTCTGGTGACAATATCCCCCATGTGTCGTCTCGATTTCCTCAAAACCAGCTGACCGTGACGGCGCCGACGACAAATGCGAGGCGTCGGGACGAGTTCATGCCCCACTGTTGCCAAGTTTTATTCCACTATTTCAAATAAATCATAGAGAGCGCATGCGCTCGTGCCATTTACTACACCCCAAAGTTATTGCATTATATGTATGCAAGCCGATCAGTGAGGCAAAAGGATTGGCACGTATGTTATTTCCTACGTGCGAACAAATGATTCTTATTATTTCGCTTATCGCACTGTCCCACCACTTGCCCCATCCACATTGGTATCATTATTCTTCAGAAATCAATTGTTTACTGCGATATATGTCAAAGTTTCCGCCAATTTTCCGCTGCACTGAGATCAACAATTATTGTTGCCCAATATCCATTCACTCGAGTTAATTAGCGTAGGAGAAGGAAAGTCTTTTCCCAAAAATTGTTCGCTAATGGAGGATAAACGGGTAAGGACCAGTTATTCGTCAAGTAAACCGTCAATAACTCGTAGTTAAAATTAAATTCAACGCCACCACTACTGTTATTCCCTGTTATTTCCAGAATTTTTTTTCTTGGAATCCCTCTACTTCAGAGGTATTTATTTTTCTCTTCACGAAAATCAATCGAATTATCACCATCTGCCTCTTCGCTGACAAATTGAATTAGGTAGACATTTCAATTCAATAAAATGCCAGTATTGAGAGAAAATTTCCAAGTGTTTATGATACTTTATTAGAGAGACAAATTAGGTTATACTTTAACTCTTCTATCAGCATTTAATTTCTGAGAATTTTTTTCTACGAGTCCCTCAATTTTGGAGATAATGCATTTAACGTTAACTTAACGAAAAAATGGGCCTGAAGAGAGGAAAATAAGGATTTGTTTTTTCGTCCATTGGCCCGGGGCTGGCCTCTATGCCTTCATGACTGTTGCAGTAAAATTTTTCTCGAAAATTTATGCACGTGCAAGCAATTTTTCTCATGCATCAGCAATTCATGAAAGAATTTCAACGAATCGGCATTGGACTCATCTATTTGACGTTGTCAAATATAAACAGAGGGAAGCACATGATTCAATGTGTCAATGAAGTGGATTATCGAGTGTTATCAATTGAAGAAGAAGCCTCAGAGATAATTTACGGTGATGTTGAAGAATTTCATTGGTTGACATTGATCATGAAGCGACTGACAGTCCAGGGGTTTTTATTTGCATTCCTCGAATTCCAGGTCAACACTTGGACTCAGTTAGGGAGTAGTGCGTCAATAAAGCTTCAAAAAGGGTTCATGAACCTGATATAAATGAAGGTCTCTACATTTTTGAAGAAATTACTCTAAAAATTCCTCGACAACATTTATCAATATTTCAGAGAATTCTAAAACAAGAAATTCACTATTTTCCAAAGAAATAAATGGAAGCGAACATTTTCTGTTCAATTATTCCATGAAGATTCAGAAACGAATTCATCAACTTTAGCACTTAGAGGTGAGTGAAATTTATTGCAATTAGAAGAAATTGTACTTTTCGTGGAAAAAATGATCCTCTTTAATTAATAATTAAATGAGCCTAAATTGAATCAGACTGGTTGTATTTATATTAATTAACTTCAATTTTCAACGCAATTTACGATAGGAAATGGCCGGAATAAATAGTCGAAAATTTCGCTTTCACTCCCACATGAATTAAAATGTAAATCTGTAGAATGAAAATGTATACTTTAATTGAATTAGCAATTCTGCAAGTGCACTCAGTAGTGATAACTCAAGAGCTTCGGGATTCTTCGAACGACTTCGGATATCCAACCAATGAGATGCTCATCACGTCCATCATAAATCTACACCGAAAATCTTCAATTTCCCGGATGGTTCATCGAAAGAACTCATATTTTGAAAAGTAACTGCAGTAACTCTTAACTTCGGATGGTCTGTGTATATTTAGATACTTTCAATCCCTAAATTAATTACCTTCCAAAACAAACTCTTTTCACCTGAAGCTGAATTATTTTTCAAATAAACTATTTAAATAAATTTGATTAATAGATGTAATGATGATAGTTTTAAGATAAATAAATGCATTTTTAATATAATCAAGTAATTCTTTCACTGAAATAAAGAAGGAATTTTTTTGGTTGTGGATTTTCTCCGATGTTGTGAAATTGTTTTTACTGGATGTTTACATTAATCCACATATAGAATCGGCTCAACATCAAAAGACGAGCGTGAGGGGCTGTAGAAAGAACGGTAACACATTGAGAAACGAAATTCTTTCTACAGCCATAAAATTCGATAGTTGATATTGAGTCGTTCTTCAATACATCATTGAAATTGAACCTTTGTACCGCTCGATCTAATCTTTATCGGGAAATTTTTTTGCCGGCATCGAATATTCAGTGAGCCTTCTCGAATAATTTTCAGTCACACTGTCATTGACGATGATTTACCCAGTATATGTTCTTATAGTTGGATGTTTTTCTCCATTCAGCCTCCGGATTAATGACCAAATGAATCATAACCTTGACCAAACAGATTCTTGAAATAATTAGCAGCTGCTTTATGAGCAATTTAAAAAGATAATGAAAAGATAAATTTATCTCGACGGGGCACTGAACAATGCAATTGAATGTAATTATTTTATTGAATGTAATTATTTGAGAATGCAATTTTAGATTCTCTAGAAACAGCCCTTCAAGGAGAAATTTAAAATTTCCGAAATTTTGATAAGATCGATCCATTCCAATTTAATGACATCGGATTCAATGCAATGCTTGATTATCCGTATCAGTTTTGAAACTTAAATGACTGTACAAAAGTTTCCACTTGCAATTTGCCATTATTTTACGTTATTATAGATTTGACAGATCCAAAGAAATTCAGGTAAAATCACCAAATCATGCTGTCAATCAAAAACAGAGTACTCCTTACAAATAAAATCGTTTATCCTACTATTCAACAAAATGTTGTATTTTCTACTATTTAAATAAATGGTACTGATTAATTTGAGCCCAATGAGTCATTTATTGGGATAAACCATTGCTAATATCACTTGGATTCCCAAATTCCGACAGTAATCGACTAATATCTTAGGTGGAAATATTTCAGGAGGCAAAATATAATGACAGAATGGTGGAAAAAAAATCCCGCGGAATGTTGAATGCTGAGACATACAAATGGTGAGGTCACGTGTTTGTTGGCGACTGGTACGGTCCACACATGAAGTTGGATGTGATGGGAGGGAACAGGGATGGACTTACCTTGAGACCGAGAATCCACTCGTAAATTCACTCCTGTTTAGTTTAAACTCCAACCATTGTTTGTTTATATAATCCAATTCACTGCATTCCAACACTGTATCCATTTGTGCGATGATATTGATGTTATCCACATGATGTTGCACATATATCCAAAAATACTAATTCCCTCAGCACTGTTTACTGTTTAAACACCACCAGCACTTTAAACCATCAACTCGAATGGAATTAAAAAAAAAAACAAAAAAAAACAAAATATAACTGGAGAATAAATTTGAAAACCTGGAGATGTATCGACAGTGACACTTTCAACGTCTCCGTATTGGCGTGAATTCTCACACTTTAAATTCCACGTGCGACGTCCTCTCGGTTCGGCGGAAGAGAGCAAATACATTGGGGCACAGGGGGACGTGGAGCAGAAATGTGAAATAAGGAAGAAATAAAAGAAGCACTGAAGACGAGTGGAAGTGGCAGCTAAGGGAGATGAACAAGTGGAAGTGAGAGGCATGTGCGGACTGTACGTGACTGTCATTGTAAAAATAAAAATCCCTGACATGCCAGAGGTGTCTCGGTCCCTCTGGCATTTCGATAACATTTTCAACCTCTCCGTATTGTTGTCAATGGGAAATTCAATTAACTCAAGTCATTCTCAATTGCGTTATTTTCACTCACCATTTTTAGTTATTTTTTATTTTCACCGAGCTAACGAGATTTGCAGGATTTCATTGCTGTTTTTATGACGATTCGATCAATGAATTCCTATTAATTCAATGAAATATTTTTCTCCCTTCGCGATTTTTTATCATTCAAAATAACTTTCATCACCTTTTTTTATTGATATTACTGATGATGATAATTTTGAGAAATTAATCTTTCCAAAATATAAAAATGAATGACTTTAATTGTTGTTAATAGAGTAAATAGAATGAAGACTTTTCTTTCTGTAGGAGGGATTGAAAATAAAAACTCACCCGTGTGTGGGAAATCTGTGCTGAAGATGCTGTGGTTCGTAGTACTGGGTTGTGAGGGCTCTTTCGTCCAGTGTGTGCTCGGTCGCGTGTGCCTTCGCTGCGGATTTGATATCCATGAACGCAACCGTCGCGGAAGCACCCGTACTCGCTGTACCACTGCTACCTGTACTACCTGAGCCACCTCCAGAGCCACCCTCGTTTCCCTCCCCGATTGTGCCACCGGAACCACCGTCCACGGGGCATTCCTCGCCCCGTGGCAACAACTTGACGCTTTGCACGCGTCCATACCTGAAAAACATTTTCAAAAAAACTCCCATTAATTGAAAGTTACACAATATCATTTAATATCATTTAATATCATTTAATATCATTTCATCGGGCACATCGACCAAGCCGGATGTCAAAAATCGCAATAAACCTAACACATGTTAATTTCATTGCAATAAAATAACTCACTCTTTATTAAATAAGTGAAAAAAAAATCATGCTCGAATGTATTTGTTTCGTGTGAGAAATAAAAAATCCATTTTTTATTGGACAAATATGAAATCCAGAATATCTAATTATTTTGTAAATAAATAATATTTTCGTATGGTAGTGGCTTGTGGTTATTAGAGTACGTTATTGTAATGAAAATATTAAGCAATTTCTTCAGCCTTCAGCAACAAATATATTGAAATTAATCCAAAAAAGGTAAATCTTTAGCGAATCGTCTCTAGAAACGGGCGTGTTCTGTTGCTGGGCAGATTCTAGTCCCAGAAAATAGTAAAACACGAGCCGTAATGAAACGAATCACCACAAAACCTTCAATCACTGAAAAAAGAAGCTCCAGGATTTACTGGTTGCCTGGCAACCCGTCTGAAGGTTTTCCGTATATATACGGGTTTGTTCACCGATCTTCCAGGAAACGGAAAATAAGACCGATAAAACCTTCAATTCCCCGATTTCAAGACAGGCTCGACACACCATCCGGGCTTTCCATAACTCCGGACACTAGCCCGCCAAATTAAATCAACGAAAAAAAACTCAAGTCCCCCATGGAGACAAAGTATTTATGAAAATTTCATTACTTGCAAGAAAAATGGCGTAAAACAGAACTTCATCTTGAAATACTCTAATTTTAAACTGCATAAACTAAACTGCATAAACTAAACTGCATATCTCCACGGCAGAGTAGAAATTTCGAAAAAGCCAATACGTTCCACAATTATTAAACTTTCAGCGTAAGCCTATTATACAATTGTCAATATAGATTTAGTGAGTTATGTTCATATTTTTGCATATTGTTCATATTTTTAAGAGCTAGAGCTAAATTCAGCATCATTTAAATTTAATTGTCACTTCTCAGAAAGAGTATAAGAATTTCCCTGAAGATTTTTTCAGCGTGGTATAAAACCTTCCATCCTCGGTAAAAATCATAAAAACATACAACAACGATCGAAACTTTCTCGTCTGCATTGGCATTAACGCAGATATAAAAGAGCCGTAGGCCCGGGTCACCACGACTCGATGGGAGAGGACATGACAACCGGCAATTGGCAATCGGTTGTGGGTGCAAGTGAGAGGTGTTTTTGTCTCTCCAACACACCCATCAAGCAACGCATACAAGAGGAATAGATTCTCAAACAGAAAATGATGATGGCTCTGCCTGGAAAAAGAATTTTAAAAAGTGGAGGGGACGGGGAATGAGTTGCTTGAATAATAAAAAAGGCACGTACCATGAAGAGAGATGACCGCGGCCATTGGTTAATTTTAGAAAGGAGTGGGGATATTGAAGCGATGTGCGCAAGCGCGGGCAAACTCGGGGCTAGAGTGCATTTCTCTGGGAGTCGGCCGTTTCACCTCGCGCGAGTAACAACGCACCAACAACTCCACGTCAATTAATAAAAGAATAATTCATTATCACTTATAGAAATCAATCGCAAATAAATTTGGTCTTCCTTCAGTACAAAATATCCCCCTTCCCCCCTCGAGATAACCTATCGCCTGATTTTTATCAGTTACTTATCGACATTATTGCCTGGAAAATGATACCATATGGGTGCTCAACGGAGACAGGATTTAACGATAAAGTGGAATGGAAAAGTTTTCACAAGCTAAAGATTATTGCCCGGCGATAAATGGCTATTGCGTTTGAAAAATTATTCTCCGTTGTTTTTTTTTGTCTCTCTCTTCATGTTTTTGCACATGAATATTTCCCAGCGGCTGGCTCTCGGAGTTATTGACTTTTTTTTTCGGAGCAGGGCGGGGCACCTACGACATACCAAGACCCCTTTATTCCATTCTACGCAGTTAGTTTATCGCCATTTTTTCCCCCGCAGTCGTGCTCAATTACTTCAATTGGATTCTTGGCTCTTACGTTCTTTCGCAGAGTGCTCCAATCCCGTGCGTGAACATAACCATCCGTTATTTTCGTTTGACCACGGATATGCTCATGATTTATCGTGAATCATTGGTAAAATGGAGTCAAGGATTCCACAATGTTCTTGGATGGTTATTTTTTTTTAACGATAACCGAAGACTCTGAGGGACGAATCTACTCTTTATTCTGTTGAATTTCCTCTCCCCTAGCCGAATTAACGCGGAAATAATGGAAACCTGTCGAAATCAGTGGATAATTGAAGGGAGCAATGGAGAATCACGCAGACCGCAGCGTTCGCCACAAAATGGCCGCCGTTGTGAAGCGAGAGGAATAAAAGTACAAAAATAATCGACACTGTGGCCCCCCAGTTCCATCCTATCTCATCCCCAGTGTTTTTCCCACCGCGATATGAAATCATCAAATTCATTCAACCTTGAGACACATCGAGATAACTTATCATCAAATTATACACCGAAAACAATGAGTTTCTGTGCTGAAACGACAGGCAATCGATGCAATGTGAGAAATACATGCTGAGTGTTATATTCCGTTCTGTCCATTCATTCTATTTTCATATCATCAACCTCCCTGCCAGAAACCTTGACGGGATTCTCATGAATTGGCACATCTCGGAGAATATTAACTATTGACAAGAATAAAGCTTAGATAACATGTACTGAACAGTGTCGGTGTCCCATTCTATTATACATTTAATTTTTTTTGCTCCTATGGAAGAATAGCATATGGATATAGAATTTTTTTTTTTTTTTGAAATTCAAGTTGAGTCGCCTCTCGTGCGCGCACATACCGTGAACGCCCTTTGCGATATTGCCAGTACGGCTCACGCAAGCGTCGCCAAAACCTCCTCCGTAGGCTCCTCTGGAGGGGAAATCCGATGGAGGAGGGCGTCCACCGGTGGGGGAATAAGCGAGATAAAGCCGCGATAGTGGTGAAAAGGGGGAAAGGAGAGAAGGAGAAGGAGGAGAAAAAAAAAGGAAAGGGGAGCAGAGGGAGTAGTAGTAGGGAAAGGAGTAAAGTGCCACGGTGGCTGGTCGACTGGCGAGCAACTCGTGAACCATGGACACTGTTTCTCGTCTTTTCCCCTGACAACCCCCCCGCCCCCCAGCGCCCCACCCCACGTCGACCTTTTTTTTCCTCCGGGTACTGATTCTGAGGCGAGCCACCAAGCGAATGGAATAGAGAGGAGTAAAAAAGATAGGGTGGGGGCCACTCGGCGAGGAATTTTACTCGGCAGACTTGCTCCCGGGCTCCTATGCCGGTATATGACGCATCCGAGACTACACGATATGTACCTCTGTCTCACCAGGGAGTCCCCCCCCCTCTCGCTTATTTCTTTCTACCCTCCCGTCCTCCCATCCTCCGAGAGCTCCGAGGGCTTCGAGGGCTCCAAGGGCTCCGGAGGTACCTATTTCGCTACGATCGCTCAACTTGCTTTATGAGATGGCATTAGCGAGCGGCCGCGTGCGATTCCCATAAACCAGGGTAGTCTCTAGGTCAGACTCTTCTCTCATTCTGCCAGGAGTTTTATGCCTTGTTGAGGTTTAGTGCTTTCAGAGACACCGGAGCGTCTTCCTTGGGAGCTCGAGGATGCGCGGGGGTCGGGTTGGATTACGTCGAGTCGACGAGATGGGAAATTCGGAGGTGGGGATTCGGAAAAATGAGGAGAATTGTCCAAAGGAGTCAAAGACACGTATTGAAATGGGAAAGGACAATACGAGCATACAGGGATCGGAAAATTTGGGGTAATATAAGTCTCTGGAGTGACATTGAACATTGAACAGTTGATATTGAAGAATATAGATGAGTATTTCGAAAACTGATTGAATTTTTTAGTGAATATCAATATTTAGGAACAGAATTACATCGATTTATGTTTTGCCTTGGAATTCTTTGCATTTTTTTTGCAATAAAATTATGGCAAAATAGTGGAAGGCACTGGCGTTAAACCACAAATGTTAAAACGAATTGCACTCTTAAGGTCATGTTGCTGAGGTGCGCCGTCTCGAAATAATGAAATGGTGAACAAAAAATATGCAAAACCTCTGGAAATAAGTTTCGCAGGTGTGACCACATCGCCGAGACTGCAAGACATCCGAGGAATGAGGCAAGAAGCTTATCATTATCGTCACGAAAAATATAAGAATGGCTGCTGATGATATTCGCAATGAGTGAGACAAGTCAAAATTATTCGCACTCTATCTCAACGAATACGGTGTCGCTGGCTTCGTGAGGGACTTTGGAACTTGCTTTCCAGCATATATGGCATTCATGATGATTAAAATACTGACACATGAGTCCACTGATCATGTGGCCTGCCACACAGGTGCCTTCGAAAATATCCAAATGGATTCCAAGAAAAAACACCAACGAATTGCGTAACCGTTGTTGTTGTGAAGTCGATCTGAGATGTTACGTAGAGGATAAGATTTTGAAATAGAATTTTAATAAGTAGGCGAGAAGATTCTGGTCCCAACAAAAATGTAAAAAAAATAGAACGAATGTTGGAGGAATCGGAATTGAAAAAAGTGTCTATATCAAATAGGTGATACTTCCGAATTCAATTGTTGAAAAATTATACTTGAAATTTCAGGTGAAAATAACGAAATTTTTAACAGCGACAAAGTGATATGAAATTTCTGTAGAATTCATCATTGACGAATTAGTGAATTTTTTCGATGAGGATAAAAATTCGAAATCATTGAAAAATCAATGATCATTCAATTACCGAGATAATTGGAAATTCGGATGACTGAAATATTGCTGAAATTTGAAGAAATGCCTAACAGTGTGTGCAAGCGACAATCTTCCGGATAACTGAATAATGAATAAAAATGTTGAAGTCGACTTATAGTACTTGAACACTTGGTCAGTGATTTGTCTTGTCCTCGGGCTTTATTCGTCTATC